GGGGTGTCCAGAGGCCCAGCAGGCACCTGCCGCGGGCGCCGCACTGCACCTGCCGCGGGCGCTGCACTGCACCACGCCAGCAGGCCCCGGCTGCCTGCCTGCCTTCCTGCAGCCAAGGACTCCCCCACCTGTATGTTTGTTTCCATGCCGTCCTCCGCCTCCTCCCCACCAGCCATGTCGCGAGCCTCGGCCTCCGCCTCGGCCCGCCGCCGCGCCGCCGCCTGGTCCAGCGCCCGCGACTTGCGCTCCACCTCCAGCTCCTCCTCGCTGCCCTCATCATCCTCATCATCCTCATCCTCGCTGCCCTCCTCACCCTCCTCGCTGCCAAGCTCCTCTCCCTCCCCATCTGCACAGGCACAGCCGGGAGGTCACAGGCGGATCGGCGAAGAGAGGGTGCCCCAGCAGATGGAGGGGGCGGCGGGCAGAACGGGGGGAGAAAGCAGCAGCCGGCACGACAGGTCAGCACTGAGGTGGCGAGGGACGGGAGGCGCACCCGAGCCCAGCTCCTCGTCGCCGCTGCCGCCGTCCTCATCATCATCGCCGTCGCTCCACAGCTCCGCCTGCTGCCGGCCACCCCGCGGCTTGCCGTTGGCGGCAGCCGCTGGCGCCTCCTCCTCCTCCTCCTCCTCAGAGGCAAAGTCATCGCCCATCAAGTCATCAGAACCCAGCTCATCTGCACGCAGGCAAGGCGGGGGCCGAGGAGCGCTGTGGACCGTGGTGCGGGGCTCGAAGCGCCGCACTGTAACGACTGCGCCAGCTGCAAGCTGCTCCCGAGGAGCCCACGCTGTGTTTTCAGGGCCTGCGCCAGCCCGCAGCACATGGGCAGGGCAGGGCGCGGCGCGTAGCCGCCCGCACCTTCGCTGCCAGGCGCCCCGTCCTCCTCGCTGCCGCTGCCGCTGCCGCCGCCGCCGGACGAAAACTCGGCTCCCGACAGCGACTGCTCCTCCTCCTCCTCCTCCCCAGACTGCTTCTCCTGCTCCTCCTTGCCGCTGGACTCCTCCTCGCGCTGCTTGGGCTTCAGCCACCTGGCATTGTGGTCGCTGAAGCCGGCGGCGGCGGCGCCTGCCCGACGCCTGCCCGCCACCTGCGGCTTCTTGCTGGCGGGGCCGGCGGCCGCGGCCTGCATGTATCGCAAGTGGTGCTGTCAGCGACATGTGCTGGCTGAGGATCACAGGCAGCAGGTGGAGTGGAGGGAAGAGAGGGGCGACTGTTGCGGCGGCAGCTGGCGGCGGCGGCGGCGGGGGCCCTACCTTGCTGGGGGGCTGCGGGGCGCCCTTTGGCTGCTGCCTGCCGGGCTCCTCGCGTTTCCTGCATTCGAGGCCGGGTCCCAGGGCAGCGTGGGCTTCGGGAAAGCCGCCAAACAGCATGCATGTGTGAAGCATGCAGGTTTCAGCGGGCGGCTTGCATGCCCAGTAGCACGTCTCACCGCTTCGGTTGCGGGCCCGGGGCATTGAGCGCCTTTCCCTGCTTGGGGCGAGCCATTGCTGCGGACTGTCACCCTCCTCCGTCCCAGCACAACTGATGGATCGGTTCGCCTTGATTTGCAATGAATATTGATTTGCATGCGCCTGGGTTGCATGGCAAAGTTTTGCGACAGCCTGGCACTCGCGCTGTGCACAGCAGGAGGGCAACAGTTGGCCCCTTCTCATTGCCGGACCGGCTACCTGCGCATCAGTGGCCAGCCCCGCACCTGTGCCGTTGCCCTAGTGTGCCAGCCAGCATGCGGCCGGCCCTCCTCACCCTGCTTGCGCTGGCCTGTGCTTGGCATTCAGCGCAGTCGGTCGATGACATCGAGCCCAAGAGGCCCGTGTGGCCCTCCGAGTACCAGGTGAGGCCAGGGTTTTGCTCCCCCTTAGGGTGGCCCGCCACCGCCCGGCGCTCCTGCCGCCAGACCCGAGACTGCCGCTTTGGCTGCTCCCTTGCTTGCTTGTGGTGGCCTGGAGTCTAATCTCAGCAATGCCCCTGCCTGCAGATTTCCTGGGACTTCACAGTTCCTTACATCGACGAGTACCAGAAGAGCAAGGACGGGTTCAAGTGAGCGGGCAGAAGGGTCGGCCGCTCGCCCTCCCATGCATGGCACCGCCTCGAGCTCGGCCTGCTACCCCCTCTTCCCCCCTCCTTGCGCCGCAGGTACCAGTACCAGGCGTGGCAGGACACGCGGCTGGGGCGCCAGAAGGTGGTGCGCAATGGCAAGGAGACGGTGATCCTGCTGGTGCCGGGTGAGGGGCGGCGGGGCGGTGGCGGCCGGGAGGCTGCGTTGAGCAGGCGGGGCGGGCTTCCTGTTGCAGCTGCCTGCTCCCTTGACGCTGCCTGCCATGCCATGGCATGGCAGCACGTATCCATCCCTCCTCCCGACTGCCCTGTCTCCCCACCTCATCCCTCCCTGCCTCGCCCCCACCTGCCCGCGTGTCTGCCTGCCCCTGCAGTGAACAAGATGTACGAAGTATTCCCCGCCTACGACCACCTGACCTGCTGGGAGGACGAGATCCACGGCGGCACGGGGCCCACGCTGGCCGGAGCTCAGCAGGGTGGGCAGGCCGTGGAGGAGGGGCAGGAGGAGGGGCAGGCGGCGGCCGGAGAGGCGCCGCGGTCGCAGCAGCGGCGCCGGCTGCGGGGCGAGGCGGAGGCGGCGGCAGAAGAGGAGGGCGAGGGGAGGCAGGCTGGCGGGCCCTACCTGTTTGACTGGGAGAAGAAGCCCGCCAAGCTGCTGCACTTTGTGAGAGGCGCCGCCCGCCCGCCTGCCCCGCCCGCCTGCCTGCGCTGGGGCTTCCCCTTTGTTCTGGTTGCCTCCCGGCACCCCGCCCCCTTCCCTCTGCCCAGCCTCCGCCTCTCAACAGCACCGCCACCGCCCCTCCCTGCCCGTCACGTCCCTGCCCTGCCCTGCCCTGCCCTGCCTCCCCCCCACCCCCACCCCGCAGCTGCTCCCCGACCTCAGCGAGGAGCGGTGGCAGTATGTGGGCACAGAGGTGTTCAAAGACACAGGGGACAGCGCCCGCGTGTACGAGTGGGACCTCACAGGTGGGGCCGGCGCCAGGCTGGCGGCCAGGCTGGCGGCGGGTGGAGAGAGGCCAGGGTGCAGGTTGGGGGGGAGGGTACTGCCAGGCACTGCCTGCCTGCCTGCATGCATGCATGCATGCCTGTGGTGTGCCCTCCTCCCACCCATCCAACCCCTGTCGCCACCCCTGCCCGCCTGCCCGCCCGCCCGCCCCGCAGCGGGCGGCGTGAGCGACATGAGGTACCGCTTCTATGTGACGCGGGACGGCGTGCCGCTGAGGCTGTGGATGATGGGCACCAACCTGTACACGGGTGGGCAGGGGGTGGAGGGGGGGTGGTCTGGTGTGCTGGTGGTGAATGGCCGGGGAGG